AAGGCTTAAAAAGGTACCAATTATTTGTGCTCGAGATTGAAGACAAGTGTGGAGCCTGGTCTTACTATTATAGTTAAATAAGATTAAAGATAAGAAGTGGATTTATTAGAGAGGATTACTGAACCACACAAGTAGTTTTTAACCAGTGAATGGGGTCTCTCTTTCTACAATGATTATTTTTAGATGTAGCCCAACTAAATATAAGTGGGCCTTTTTCCCACCAATTGACTCCAACTTTTTTTTTTATCATAAATGAAGAGGCCTTTTTTGAATTTAATAAGGCACATATGCTTTTTGGGCCATTTCTATAAATGTGGGCTAATATTAATCGCATAACGTTTCAAGTTTTTGAAAAAAACAGGCTATTATTAAGTAGATAAGACACGAGACAATGCGTGTTTGCCCAAGTACAGCTAATTAATCGGACCGTATTGGGCTTTGCGTGCCTCATCCGTTAATGACGTGGTTAGACAGCCCGTGTGGGCCGATAGACAACGGTAGTCGACGATGGATGGGCCTGTAAGGATACGCTACACAAATACTTTTTTAATATTTTTTTGAATTTTTATTTTTTTTGCTTTTTTTTTTCTTTTTTTTTTTCCACTTTTTTTTTGTTGGTCTCTCCCTCCTCCCTCTGGCCGGTCGCCGGTAAAGTTGTCCACGTCGGCGCCACGTCGTCGCCGGTGACCGGCCGGCAGGCGTCCACGTCGGCAAATTCCGGTCAAAATTGGCCGGAAGGACTAAATTGGCACAAAAACAAAAGGTTTAGGACACACCAATTTAAAGGCAGGATGATGCATTTAAAAGTTTTAGTAAATTACCAGCAAAAGGTTTAGGAAATTGGCACCAAAAAAGGTTTAGGACTAAATTGGCACTAATGCAAAAGGTTTAGGACTTTTTTGGCACTTTTCCCCCTCATTCAAGATGGCATTGCAGTTTGTCCATCGATACCGGCTAAGGAAGCAAACGAGAGGGAGGACGATCGAGCCCGCGGTTTTCACACGGCTTCGTTTGTGCTGACCGTTTCGACTAACTAACACGAAAATGACCCTTTCGAAATTAACAGGGCTCTTTGGGAGGAGCCCATCAGCCCAGCCTCTTGAAGTTAATGTTCGAATTTGCTTTTGAGGGTTATAGGATGTTGAAAGGACTCTATTATCCACAGCTGGATTTGCTTCTGGCAGAGAAAGGAGGCAGGTCATCCAGGGTTTGGCACCTACGCTAATCACGTTTACGGAAAATAGGTACCCGATCAAATCATACTGGGCTCTGCGCATCTCGTTCGTTAACAATAATTAGGCCAATTGTCAACGGTTAATCGGTGATTGATGTGCTTGTGGGGACACCGTCTCCTCTCCGCTCCTCGTTCTTCGACAAACATCACGGTATATCCATCAAAACCTTACGACGGAGGAAACGAGAGGTAGATCAAGCCGCAGTTTCCATAGGGCTCCGTTCGTACAGATCGTTTCGAAAACAGTGACTCGATATTCAACACGGCTCAATCGGGGTACGTACCTTGAACTTTAGGTTTTCCGAATCAATATAAGAATCTTAGATTGTCCTACTTCTTACGGTCACTCCTGTTTTCCCTTCTAGTTCGGCTGAATGCTGATTCAAGAAACGTTAGGCCTCCATGACCCATTAGTAGGGTGTAGTTGATAAGATGAGCTCACTCAGCCGAGATTGTGACTAGATTTCACGTGTCAAACAAGAGAGGGAAAGAGACTATGTCTGTGGAAACCAATATGATTAATTATTGAGCCTTGAAATTAAGCAATTCTTGCATCTTCATACCAGAAATTGGATTCTTGCTCGAGGAATTGGACTTTGGGTGTCGCAAATGATAACTCTTAACACGAAAAGCTTGTCCCATTAACCAAGAAGCAAAGAATTTCCAGCAATAATTGCAAGGCACAAGCATCCAAAGCATGCTCCACGATTTGGGTATCAAGGAAAGTTGAAAATTTTCTGCATCGATTAGATTATTGACAATGATGGGGGTAGGCTTTAATTGTTAACTAGAAAATGTGCACACGGATTGCATGTGTGCGCCAAGAATTGATATTTGCAAGATTGGCAAAATCGCTTTATTACGAAATATTTGAATAATTAATCGGAAAAAAATTAGTGGTAAAAAAATACACCGTCGAAAGAAATTGTATACGCAGAAAGGAAAATATCTCAAGATTTGATTTTCCTCAGGAAGGTTGGTATAATTAAGAGAGAAAAAAATCAAATTTTAATATTATAACAGGTAAGACATGAATTGACTTACGAACAATATTCGGAAAGTAAATATTTGAGGAAGGAAGAAAAAGATCTAAAATCTCTAAAAAAGTAGGAGGTCCTTTTTTCAGGTTCAAAATGCACCTCCAACATATCTGTTTGTTTTTTTTAAAACAAAGTTTAAATAAGGCTGAAAAGTCGGTTTTAATATCATGAACCATACTCGCATTGATTAAGGCTAGTCCCTTAACTTTTTTACCTAGGACCTATCTATTCCCCGTGCGAACATACTTGGCACCGATTAGGTAAGCCAAGTTCAGTTTGATTCTCGAGGGTCACATCTAATTTAATACCCAAAACAAAACGAGTGATTGGGACTCTCACTATATATAGTGGGCTTTTTCCACTAACTAACATGAACTCATTTATCCTGCCCAGCCTCTTGAAATTCATTTTGAAATTGCTTTTTGGGTTATAGGATGTTGGAAGGACTCCACCATCCACATCTGTATATTCTTCTCTGCCTAGGAAAGGCGGCAGGTCATCTAGGGTTTGGTAGAACATGCATAACAGGTAATCTCACCGTTACAAATTTCTATAAACGTGAGTTCATATTAATCACAGAATATTTCAAGTTTGCGAAAAACGGGTTATTATTATGTAATGTGGCGAAACAATGGGTATAAATTGATAGTTAGTTGTAGTCAGTGTCTCAGTGATGAATAAGAAGCCCGTTAGGATGTATTACATAAATACGCGACAGTCTCCTCCTTGCTTCTCTTTCTGAGATAATGTGGTGGTATATTCATCAAAACCGTCCAAGGGAGCAAGACCGAGTTGCGATTTCCATATAACTTCGTTCGTATAGATCGTTTCAAAGGCAGCAACTCAATTCAGCACGTCTCAATCTGGGCATGCGCTCTCGATTCAATCTCTAGGCTTTCTAAATCCATATAAGAATCTTAGATTGTTGCATTTCTTACTCTAAACCCTATTTTCCCTCCTAGTTTGGCTTAGTGCTGATTCTAGAAACGCTATGCCTCCATGACTTATTGTTGGTGTAGCTGATAAGGTGCAATTAATGTGCGGCTAATAGGTTTTCATTAATTAGAGGTTTCATTAGGCTTGCCATGATTATCTTCATAGCCAATTACGAATCTCTCTTTAACAAGCTCTTTTTTTTTTAACTACATAGTGGACATGTAAATTGTGATCGTGGAGACCAATATAATTAATAATTAGCCTTAAAATTAAGGAACTGTTTAATTGTTATGCTAGAAGGTACATTTGAAATTAAATTCTCATGGCTAGCCAAAAACAAAAAAACAACAACAAAGAAAGAAAGAAATTGCATTCTTGCTTGAGGAATTGGACTTTGAGTGTCGCAAATGATGACTCTTAACACGAAAAACTTGTCGGATTTAGAAAGAGGCAAGGAATCTCTAACAATGTTTGCAACATACAAACATCCAAAACACGCTTCATAATTTGGGTTGCAAGAAAAGTTGAAGATTTTCAGCATCAATTAGATTATCGACAATGACGGGTTTGGCTAAATTGTTAACTAACAAATGTGCACACGCAAACGCACAAAAAATTGCTTCTTAGGAAGGCTGTTGTAGGATAGAAAAGATTGAAATTCTAATACCGAAACATATAATAGATAAAATTGAATTATTAACTTACGCATATGTCCATAGTTACAATACTCACAAAATAGATGTTTGAGGGTATTTTCAGAAAAAAGAAAAAGGTTCGAAATTATTAAAAAGTATGAGGTCTTTTTTTTTACTTTCTATAGCAATATAAATAAGGGATAGCCGTGTACGTGTGGATTAGGTGCGAACCATCGATTTGATCCCTAATCACATCACTAATGCGAAAACAATTTCACACATCGGTCATCTAACCGAATTTTGTCTCATGTCTTACCTAGCTTATTGGGCTAATTAATATGGTATTTCATGCTTCGAGAGTTTACCTAACTAAAATGTGAGTTTCCTCTTTGTAAAAAGAATCATAGAAAAGTAATTGCAAAATGCTCTAATACCATGTAGGAACATAGTCCATATACAATACTCAACCTAATTGCGAAAAAGCAGTAAAATTTACAGGTTTTTTGGGGGCGACTCATAGAAAGTTCTTAATACTTTTCCCTCAAAAAATTTTACTCTCCTACCAAAATAAAAAAATTTACAGGTTTTTTTGGGGTGACTCGTAGAAAGTTCTTGATACTTTTCCCTCGAATTATTTTACTCTCCCACCAAAATCAAAAATTTATATTCTACCATTGGAAAATTACAAAAAAAAATTGCTAACTGAGTCTAAAATCACTAGTTCTATATTTGCCCTAGTTCTACCAAAAGAAGCAATAGCAAAAAGTAAAAATAAAATAAAACAAAATCATCTCAAACACGCAATACGATTTTCTGCTGTCTATGAAGCTCTATTTTATCTAATTTAAATAAATAATAACAGCACTTCCTATACTTAAATGTTGGTGGTGGGCAATTTTTTCTGTTTTTACATAAGAACCGTTGGCATTGACCTCTGGAAACATGCAGCAAAATTTAATGAAGGGTCGCTCCATATTTATGCGTGAACAGTGTGCCTCAGCGAAAAAGATTCTTCTGCATCAGTAGACCTAATAATATCTTAAAGACCCTCTTTAGTGTTATCACGCCAGTGAACACGTGAGGGTGGTCTTCCTCTTCAAGCACAACCTCATTCTCTACCAGTAGAGAGAGAGAGAGAGAGAGAGAGAGAGAGAGTGGTACTATTAAAACGCTTCTGAAGATCCTAAGATCCTGGGAGCTCTGCCTTGAGATTGGAGTTGGAATATATAAATACACATGAAAAAAGAGATATCTGGAACTCAAGAACAGGAAAGAAAACCAGACTGAACAAGTCCACCGCTGATTGTAGTAAACCTAGAATTGACCAGACTGAAAAGAGCTCCAAAAGACAAGGTGCATAGGATCTGAAAGTATACGCTTCGACTTGTTTGTGAATTTAAATTACAGCACTTATTAATTTTTCTTTTTCTTTTTTCTTTTTTGGGTGCAAGATAACTCTATGGCAAGAGTTGAATTGGCTTACCATTAGGAGAGAAAGACTCAAGAACCAGGTTGTTACTTCCACCATTTGATGAGCCACCATTCTCACCATCCCTATTTGATGAAGAGGGCTCCATAGGATGACGACTCTCGCTCATTATTGTCCCGCCCTTCTCTTTGTTATTAATGAGAGACGTCAAAGCAGCCGCCACAGCAACCCTAAACTGGGGATCGCAAGCGATGGAACTCGCACTCGCGTTCTCGGCTGATCCTGGTGGCTTATCCGAGCCTCTCGAATTGCCTGGGAAAGCGTCATAGCTCGGCCTTCTGCTCATCCAAGAGGGACCCAGATGAGGCAACGGGTAATTCGTGGCAGAATTGATCCTCATCGGCAAGTTGTGCAGCGGCTCGTAGTGGTTCATGTGGGTGAGATCGAGAACGATGCCCTTCGAGGGGTCGTTGCTAGGGTTTAAGCTTCGAGAGCTTGGAAATTGAGAGGGAACGCTGGGGTTTGTGATGTGGTAGGGAAGCAATGACGGTTGCTTGTTGACGAAATTTGAAGACATAGATCCGTCCGACGAGAGAGGATTCATGCTTGAATCGAGTAATACAAAAGAGGCTGCATTGGAGGCTGTTGAGGCCATGGCTGTTGCACCCACTGGAAGTGGATGGTTGTGTGTACCTTCATAGGTTGTTATCAAGATGGACATGTCCTCCAAGCATCTTTGCACCTAATAAAAAGTAACATCATCACAATAAAAGTGAAACCTTATCAGTCCAATTATGACAGAGTAAACATATATTGAAACTTTGAAAACAATTCATGCACCATTCATACTTGTTTCCTCACTGGACATCCTGGTGCCACGGTGCACCGGTAATATGCTCTAGGACATGGATTCCCTTTTGCAATTTTTTGACCGTACTTTCGCCATTGACAACCATCGCTCAACTGCGCAAGTAGACCCCTAATCAGTACTACTAATTTGATTTTTTCCACGAGTCATATTCTTGGCAATTACCAACTTAATTTCGATTGAAATTGGACATACTGTGGCTGCTTCGCATCTTGCTCGAACTGTGACTCGAGATTTCCTGTTGGGCATGGAGGCGACATGACTTGTTATGCCTGCAAACTGATCGGTCCTTTGGATCTTGTCATGTATCATCGGGAAATTTGTGTGATTTTGGACCTTGGTGATGCCATCTTCTTTATGCACTTGTATTCCTTGTGGGTCGGTGCCAATTTGTAATCCCAGCGACAACCCTAGATCGCTCTCCCCAAGGGTGTCATTTTTCGGGGACGGCGACGGAGAGCTCTCATTCGGGCCGGATAGAGATTTCGGTTCTTGATCGGGTTTTCCTTTCGTGTAGAGCGAGAGAAAGGTTGAAGGATCCTAAATCAGTAAGACCATAAATAGAAAGGGAACTTTTGATAAAACTGCAGCAATTAAACCTCAGTATAATTTCATGTAAGAATTCACTTATACACACGATACACAAAGAGACCACTTTGCCTTTGATTGGTTGGATTGATGAACATGGTCTAGTTTGAGCTGGAGATCATTGTACTCCTTCATTGTTTGCTCCACCACCTTCCTCAAAGCCTTGTTTTCTTCTTTCATCCGATCCATCTCCTTTTTCAAAACACATAACTACACAGAACAAAGACATGTATATTTATCTTCGCAAGTTAATACACGACAAAAACATTAGTTGACAAATGAGAGAGACTAGTATTAATTCGAAGGCAATTTACCTCTTCCGTCTTCATACTATCTCGAGACGATAAATCAACCGACCCATTTTCTTCGCCGTCGCCGTCTTCTTCTTCTTCTTCTTCTTCTTCTTGTCGTTCTTGTTCTTCGCCTGAAGCGGTCGTTAATGCAGCCTCAGCTTCTTCTGGACCTCCTGAGCGTTCCTGATCATCCTGATGATCACCTGCTTGCACTCCACTATGATCTTCGGTCGATCGTTCGCCTTCTTCTTCAGCGTCTAGCTTCAAAGATAGATCGATGTCCATGACCTCAAAAGATCGATAAAGACAGAGAGAGAAAGATGCAGGTTCTTGAAATATTATCCCTCTCTCTCTCTCTCTCTCTCTCTCTCTCTCTCTCTCTCTCTCTCTCTCTCTCTCTCTCTCTCTCTCTCTCTCTCTCTCAATATACAGCTTTTGATGCACCGAAGTCAATTCCCTCGTCTAAAGACTTGAGTATCAGACAAAAAACCAAGGAGGCATCTACGGGTTTTGACTTTGATTTGTGTCATTAATAAAAGCTTTCAATAAAATACGTACAAATTACAGAGCCATAAGCAACTAGCGATGGTATAGTTATATACATAGACTCCTGTGTTGGGACGCCTAAAAGTTTTCAATTTGTGGGCCCATCCTCAATGTGAAAAAAATTTATTAAATCCCTATTTTATATATATGTATGTGTAATGTATAAGATATGTATGACGACCTACACACACCATCGCTCGTGCACCACACACACTAGCGAAGACTAGCCACTAGGGTTTCTATATGGTGACCTTTGCTTTGTAGACAAATGACATCTCATCTATAGTTTATATCAATTCAATCTATTGTTATCGAGACATGTAATAGAAATGCTTGAATTTATTTGTCTAAATATGACTACAACTACAAACGGCATTTAGTCATGAATAATTAGGAGCGAAATCAAGGATTAGCTCGGGCCGCAATGTCGACGTTGACTGATGCAAGGCGATAGATTTGACTCGGTTCGAAAGCTAATGCAACTGTGTTTAGGGTTAATAATCCTCTTGAGGTCGCACACAACCAATGCTAAGTTGTGCCACAAATTCCAGCCAACCCTTTTTGGGACAAGGCGGCTACACAAATATGAGACTAATCGAGCTCACTCACATTTATGGAAAATAATATATTGGAGGATTTTCTAAACACAAAGTGTAATTTGTAATTTAACCACAAATCCAATGAAATTCACTCCCCTATCCCTTTACAACATTCACAAACCATGCCCCCAACATTTCGAATAATTATCGCGTAAATCAACCTACCGGTCAATATTTAACAAAGTTTATTAAATTCCATGAGAATTTGTATAAGAAGAGCATAAATATCCTTATATATAGACTTTTGATCTGTTCACTAGACTTTTCAAAACTGTTTGTTTACTTACAGATAGAGAGTTATATATTCTCACTCAAATTGGAAATAACAAAAGACAAAGGGGTACGCTGCAACTTCAAATTCTTTTTCAACACAAAAGAAAACAAAACCAGGTTCGTTTTGTGGTTCCCCAGAAAGTAATTTGATAATGAGATTAGATTAGATGCATGAATATAATTTAAAAGGGAATTGTTGTGACGTCATCATCGCGATGGGAATATGAGCCCCGTACGAAATCCCATGAGAAAAGAGAGAGGGGAGGGCCCCTGGGGATCAGATCTTTAGAAATTGTCAACTACGGAGACCTTGGACCCTCTATCTCTCTTTCTCTCTATCTCTCTATCTCTCTCTTCCTTTCAAACCCTTATTTTATGTCTTTTACCTTCTTCTATTGAATCATCACCCACGTTAGCATGGAGGAAAACTTAATGTGGCACAAGTCAATAGTTGTGCTCCTTCTCTACTCGAAGCTAAACTCGTGAATTGTATACATGGTTAGATGGGTGATACCTTCTATTTGACTGTGTTTAAGAAGAAGAAGATGATAAACCATGCTCTTAAATTATAGAGAGTTGATATACATGTTAAAGTTAATTTCTTTGAAAGAGGACGCGTCATCATATTTAAATATTCAATTACTCGGACGGATTCTTCTCGTCTTCCTTTCATCTTTATCCTTTTTTTTTTGTTCTTACTTTTCATTTCCTCTTTTTTCTCTTTCTTATTCTTCACCGCAGCAACTCCATGCGATCACGACTCCACCTACTGCCGTCGACACCACCACCACAACCCCCCTTCTCTCTCTCTCTCTCTCTCTCTCTCTCTCTCTCTCTCTCTCTCTCTCTCTCTCTCTCTCTCTCTCTCTCTCTCTCTCTCTCTCTCTCTCTCTCTCTCTCTCTCGATTAAGTCGACCATGGAGGTTGTGACCTCTGGGGGCTCGTGTGACATGTGAGTGCATTGGTAGAGATCACGACGATCGCGGATATGGGAGTGAAACTCTAAGGCAACTTGTTTGCCTTTTCTGATCACATATCTCTGTTCATGCGAGACTGGCAACCTACCTCTGTTCATGCGAGCCTGGCAACCTACATGTGAATAACATGAATCGACAGAGATCCCAACTTGAGGATTTGAAACGTTACTCATCTCTTTTTGGTTACCAATTTCGTTTGTTGGGTACCTAAAAAATGTAAATGGAAGAAAAAAGAAAAGGAGGGTCGTTTGTAGTGTATTACTCGGATTGCTAGGGCTAGGGCTAAGCAAATGTTGGTCCAAGTTTGACCCCACTGCCGAACCCTAACGCAACCACGCCGGCCACCCAATTAGCTTCATAGGCCATCGCCGGGTTAAGTCCTGGCCAACCCTCTACATTTGCAGCTTGTTTACTGTTTTGGTCCAAGTTTACTGTTTTTGCACCCAAGTAGCAATCTTCCTTTTCGGCTAATTCGCACCATGACAACATTAATAGGATATTTCGTGGACCTAGTCAGGATCTGTACATCTCTGTTAAGTCGATTATTTTCACCTTATATTACAAGTTCAGTTCACACAACATGAAAGATGTTTTTTCCAACTTTTCTCCTCGTGCTTTTCATAGAATACTGGTGATTTTGTCAAAACAAAGCTCCTTATTTTGAGGAAAAAGACAGACAATTCATAGTCTTCTATTGTCTATTAATTATATTAATGAAAATTGCTCGAATCGCATATGTCACATTGTAATCTTTTAAAACTTTTATATATGACAAATACGTGTAGATGGTATTTCTCGTAGTCATGTTTGTTAATGTTTTTAACACTATCGATCCGTAAAGATGATATCCCATTAAAAGGCATGTTAACACAATCATAACATATATTATATATACACACACTGAAATAGCCAAAGTAAGTCATTTTGCGCAAGTATTTCATAAGAGTACTAAATGTTTGGGCATCTGAACTTGGGGTTGATTATTAAAATTTGATGAGTGCATTGCTGAGACGATACCCTATTGAATTTTATCCGATGTAACATGTGCATACAGAGAGAGAAGATGGTTATAATTTTTTGAGAATCATTATGTTAATGCAATGTAGTAAGCCCGAGTTCATGCAAGGATCATTATAGTATATGGTGATAATCAATGTACATACAATAACAAATATATAAAAAATGAAACGAATCATGTGCTTGTTTTTTTTTTTTGATCGAACATGTGCTTGTTGATCCGGTTTGATGCAATGCATGAGCGCTTTGCCTTTTCGCAATGCAGGCTTGATTAACGCGCGGTCACATGTCGTTCGCGACTCCGATCCCCATGCAAAAAGGTCAATCCTTTCTCTTCTCTCTCTCTCTCTCTCTCTCTCTCTTTCTTTCTGTTTGCCTCGTGCATTGACTCCCCATGATCATTTTGCCCAAGTCGAGAAAAAAGGTGGAGCCCCTTAAATTATTCATTCTAGGAATCATCATGATATTCTTTTCACTAACTTTTCGAATCCCCTTCTTGAGTCTCCCCAACTTTCTAAAAATGACTTGATGATAGAAGATATTTTTACTTTTGGGATTTGCTTAGTAAGTGTTAAAAGATCTGACTAGTGCATCAGAACAGCAGCTGGTTGTGTGTGTGTTGGTTGCACGGCACAAGTTTGATTTCGCATGCCACGATTGCAAATCATTCCACATTTGAGTCTCTCACCCGGATTTAGACGGAGTTGTACCTGATCCATGTGATTAAGTAGGGTATTTCGTGGATCCGAGATGCACTCAGTTGAAGTGGGCTTCCTTGTCATAAAGAATAGACAATGAAGATAGCTCTGGAGCATTTATTTCTTTAGATAACTTTGTGTATGTCAAATTCAATTATTATATATTTACTTACTAATCATCAAATGTAATCACCTCATGAGCATGGCGGGAGAGGAAGGAATGAGAAAAGGATGTTAGTGTAAGTAATTTATTACATTAGGCTGTAGTAGACACGTAACAACACAAAGGGAAAATTACATTCTATTTTGTCAACTATTTAGTGTAACTAGTATTGTGCTTAGTATTTATAATAAGTAATACGTGTATGGATTCTCTAAATTTAGGGGGTACATTATAGTAAGGGCAAAAGCCACCAAAAATCATATACTATACCTACTGCGACACATCTACCTTAAACTTTTTTTTTGTCACACCAAATATGTTAAACTTCTACTTGTGTGACACATTTACTTTCCGTCAAAGTTCTATTAATGAGAGTCGTTAAAAATCTGCTTACATAAATGCCAGAAAGCAAACAATGTTGAGACGATATTCATGTGGCTTAAGTGAAATAAAAACAACATTATTTTGGCTGAAAAATCAATTGATGGAACCTTGACGGAGGGTAAATACGTCGCATAGGTACAAGCTTGTGATTTTTTTTATGTCACAAGAAGAAGTTTAGGATAAATGTGACACAATGGGCATAGTTAGGGGTTTTTTATATCATAAAAAAAGTTTAGGATAAATATGTCATAATGGGCATAGTTTAAGGTTTTTGTAGCTTTCTCCCTTATATTAAAGATAGCTAGGAATCCTCTAATTTAGGGAATGGTAAATTTACCTCTTTTGTATGATTGGCTCGACAGTCTAGACTAAGATATACTTGGGAGCACCAATAACTCATCATCTACGGCCATAGTTAGGTCGCCACCTTCAACCACCACCAACGTCGCCGCCTCCTCATTGCAGCTTCTCTGTCTCTCGACCCTCATCTTTGGCACAGAGAGAGAGAGAGAGAGAGAGAGAGAGAGAGAGAGAGAGAGAGAGAGAGAGAGAGAGAGAGAGAGAGAGAGAGAGAGAGAGAGAGAGAGAGTACCACTTTTATATGATCAGCTCAACCGTTTATACAAAGATATACTTGGGAGCACCGATAAATCATCACATCCAGCCATAGCTAGGCCGCCACCTTTAGCCACCACCAGCGTCGCCGCCTCGTCATTGCACCTTTTCTTTGTCTCTCAACCCTAATCTTT